GCACAATGGATTAGGTACACACACCTGAATCCCCAAATGTCCTAAGAGAATAGAAAGAGGGAGAGTTTATACCAAGGAGATAAAATCAAGAAGTGATTTGGAGACGGACCTTGAAGAATTAGCAGTGTTTTGACAGGTAAACATTTGGGAGTGGGGTGGCAGAGTAAACTTGGGAAATCATAAAGTCATCCAGTTCAGATGTCACAGAAAAAGCCGAAAGGGAACACTGAGCCCTGTAGGAAGGGATGTGCCTTTCAGTTCGAAGAGTTTTGAGCAGGAGAGTGACATGGTTGGAGTTGCAATTTAAGAAAATGTCCAACCTACTCAGAGAGTTTATTTTTATTATTGTTGCCCTCTGTACACAGGATGACCAGAGCCAGGAAAGGGTAAAACAGAACAAGTACTTTGGATTTTGTCACTGATGCTCAGGCTCATCTTCCTTTCTAGTTTTGAAATGTAAGATTATTTCTCATTATGAGTTAGTAAAAAGATGGCAACAAATTTCAAATTAAATTATTTCTTCTAGAGCACTGTAAACATACACATGAGAAAAAAGAAATATGGTTTCACAGGCTGCACCAATGATAATAATTAAGATAATGCATTCTGACAAAAGTGGGGCAGTTTATTATTAATCTTTATTTTCAGAATGAAGATTCTGAAACTCAGGTTTCATCTTTGGTTTCAGATCCCAGCCTGGCCCTCCACCACCAGCCGTCTGCCACCGCCTCCACCAAGTCCCCCTAGAGCCACCTTATGTTCCTTCTTGGCTTCCTTCTCTACTAGCTTGTCCACTGGAGTTTTGACATTTAAAGATAATTTCAGCAAAGTAAGAAGCCCTTCCCTAGCCTTGGTCTCTCTGTCTTCCTTCTCCATAAATCTATTTTGGGAGATATAGCCTGCAAATGCAGTTGTAAAGGTAAACATCTCTTGTTAGCAAAGAAAATGTTGAAGGATTTGGGAATGGATTAACAATAAATGGGAGAGGGAGACCGAGAAATCAACTCCAGAAACTGTCCCAGACTTGTGCACCCATCACAGCCACAGCACGGGAACTGCTGACAGAACCAGAGGATAGGCCGAGCAGAGAAAAATAGGAGTGAATGCTCACCAATCACCAGAGTCACCTGCCTTGACAGTCAAACTTCCCACTCTCACCCAGCCTGCTCCTTTGCCTCTGCTTAGGTAGGGAAAACAGTGCAAAATGCTCTGAGTCCCAAAAAGGATAAAAGTAGCTGACACAAATATCAAGTTTTATAAAGATTTCCTTTCCATCAGAAAGGGAAGACAATGATGGTGTTTGTGTGAGGAGTACTAATGCATTTAATGAAACATTAAATAGCATGATGTCTTTGAGATGCATCCATGTTGTTGGTTCAAGACTCACCTTTCCTCTTTCAAAGGGTCTGCGTGGTCTGAGACAGTGGGTAGCAGAGGCTCAGGTGAGCTCTCTTTTCCAAACAGCCGTGTGGACATCAGCATGGCTGCGTGTACCTTTGGCATCACCTGCATACACCGTACTCTGACACGCAGTCATACTGCATCCAGGCCTTTTGTCGCCTGGGGATTAAAAATGATTTCAGCAGCAAAATCAGCTCTGTTTTAACATTTTTTTATTTTTAATCAGTAACGGAAGAGGCTGAGATTTTCTTGAATTTCAGGCTTATCAGTGTTCATAATGAACTTTCTGCTAAGTAAATCAATATAAAAATAAGATTTGTTAGCACTTTAGTGGGGAATCATAAGAAAAAACAGGTTAAACTCAGGTAATAAGCTCAGAGGTTTGCCTTCTGAGAGTCCCTTGTATTTCTAGGATGCCTGCCCACCCCCACCATGGGGAAGAAGAGCTCAAACGTATGCTTCTAGACTTAGTAGAATCCATGAGTCATCTTCCTTGTCTTGTACCCATACATATTCAGCTAAGGAAAGGCCAGGCTCTCAGTACAGTGGTCCCCACTTGTCCACAGGGGATACACTCTAAGACCCCCAGTAGATACCTGAAACTGCAGATAATAACAAACCCTATGTCCACCATGTTTTTTATTATATACACATACATATATCTAAAGTTTAACTTATAAATTAGGCAAAGTAAAAAAAAAAACTGTCTTAGTCCATTTGTGTTGCTGTGAAGGAATACCTAGGCTGGGCAATTTATATAAAAAGATTTATTTGGCTTATGGTTCTACAGGCTGGACAAGAAGCATGGCACCAGCATCTGCTTCTGGTGAGGGTCTCAGGCAGCTCCCACTCATGGGAGCAGGTGAAGGGGAGCTGGTGTGCAGAGATCACATGGTGAGAGAGGAAGCTAGAGAGAGAGGAGAGGGAGGTGTCAAGCTCTTTTTAACAACCAGCTTTCAGCTCTCACAGAAATGAACAGAGCAAAAGTTCCCTCCCTCCTATGGACAGCACTAATTCATTCATGAGGCATCCACCCCCAAGACCTAAACACCTGCCATTAGCATCCACCTGCAACATTGGGATGGAGTTCAATATGAAATTTGGGGGACAAATAAACCAAACTATATCAGACAGAGATTAACAACAATAGCTAGTAGTAAAATAGAACAATTATAACATTATACTGTAATAAAAGTTATGTGAATATGGGGTCTCTCTTTCTATCCCCCTCCTTCCTCCTCCAAAGTGCCTTATTGTATATTTTCAGAACTTGGTTGACTGAAGGTAACTGAAACTGAGAAAAGTGAAAAAGGGCAGTGGGTTCTGTGCATGGGTTTGAGGGGATGGAGCTCCTTCTGCTCAACTGTCAAGTCCCAGCTTCCTTCTGCCATCTTAGGAGGTACTCATTTTCCTTTTGGAGTGGGTAGCCAGTGCCCTCCTAAAGCCAAGGCCAGTTTTGTGCCAGAGAAAAGCCTTCTGTCAGACTCGTACAATACTAAGGCAAGAGTGATAGAGGAAGCTTATTCTTATCAGGAGAAAAGAGAAAAGAAGAATGCTTAGTTGAAATAATTGCTGCCAAACCATTACCCCTTTGTTTCAGAGTTCTGGGCGCCAGGATGTTGGGGTGGATGAGGTGAGTAATATAGAAACGGGGTGAAGTGAGGGGCTGGTGTCATGGGCATTTGACAGACTAGCTCTGTCCCCCATTGGCTTTGTGACCTCAAGATGACCATTTTTTCCTCTTTCTGCTTTGATTTCATAATCTATAAAATGAAGATGGCAACAATGCTTTTTGATGTAGTAAAGGCAATGAAAATTCATATAATTAGTCATACATTCTAACACAAGTGGAAACTCTAATCCCTTCCCCCTACCATACACACACACACACACACACACACACACACACACACACACACACGCCTTCCTGTCAGCTCCACCCAATGAAGAAGAGATCTGACAGAGATCAAGACCACAGTTTGGAGTAAAACATTAGGAAGTCTTGTTTCTGCTTGGAGGATTGTTTGGTGGATCTCAGGCCTTTTACATACCTAATTTTTTAAACATTGTAAGAATTCTCCTCTAGGACTACAAGGGGGCTTAGAACGCATCTCATTTGGAAAGAAGAGGCCTCCTGCATTATCAAACCTTTCCCCCTTTGAATGACAAGAAAGGACAAAGACCAGGCCAAGAGGCCAATGAAGACAGGTTTCTGAGGTCTATGCTTAATCTAGTGCAAGATGGTAAATAGGTTTAATCTCATGTGCATAAAAGTGCTGCGTGTGGAAGGCTTCTGAGGCCACATCTGGGTCACGACGGATCGTCAGTGTCTGCTGTGGGTGTTTCAGAAGGACCCAGAGCATGACAATCACAAATTTGCTCTCCTTGGTCTAGTTATGTATATATCACTCAAACTCTCGAGGGTACGAGTTCATGGAGAAATTTGCCCCCAAAACTGTGGCTTAGTAATGCAAAATGTACTTTGCCATTGGTGTCCTATTGCGTTGGTTTTTCCTAGGAATTTCTTGGGCTGTGGCTTTGTAAGCCAATCAAGGATTTGGGGTTATGCCTGAGTCCCTTTTCTTGAATATGATGAATGTCTGGCACTATTCATTAAATTGAAGTTGAGCGTGTTGGCTGGAGGTTGGGTTGTGCGGGAGCTCAAGCTGGAGCAGCTGCGCAACTCATGGACACGGCTTTATTCAGGAGAGTAAAGGTTTGAGAAAGAAACTTGTTCACAGGTGGGGTTAGAGCAGCCTCATTTTGGTATCTCAAGTACAGAAGCAGACCCAGTGGGCCACGGCATTGGTACATCCCATCTGGTTAGAAGAGGGAAGGATCCCGCTGGGGCCAAGCAGGCCTCCTCTAGGAGAGGCAGAGATCCTGGTGGGAGGCTTTAGGCTGGGCCTTTTGGACACTGGTGAATGAAACAAGGTTGCTCTTCCTTTCTCGCTCCTTACCCCAAAGATGAGAGGGCATTGGTACCACTTGGAGAACATTCTGCTACGAATGCTCACAGGCAGAAAGATTGTCCTAGACTAGAGCTTTTATTCAATTCAGGATTAAGGTATCAGGATTGCATGGGCTAAAGAGAAATGTTAACAAAATGTTCTTTAAATATGTATTAAGGATGCTAAAGAGAATAAGAAGGCCTTGGGGAAGACCTGAGGGCTAGTGCTGGCAGCATTTAAAGTTTTAAAGTTAGACAGTGTTTGGGAAGGCATTCTAGAGAAGAGATGATCTGTATACTTGTGGGAATCTCAGTTCTGCAGTTAACCTATTTATGGTTAACTTCCCTCAAAAGCATTTTAAAATTCACTGGTGGTAGAGTCTTGATAAACAGTATGACCAGAAACCAAAAAAAAATGTTTTCTCTCTTTCTATCCTCCCTATTCTATATTTCCTTCCTCTTGCTATAGAACAGACACAGTCACTATCTCTGTTCTGCACAGCTAATAATGACATACAGGTCTATATTGTGGTATGGGTTAGCTCTGGAATAGCCCTTTGCTGAAGAGACATTTCTATATGAGGTTTTTATGCATTGGGGGCATTGGCACTGCAGAGGCTCTGGGATTTAGTGCTTCTGACATCTTGTAGATGTGATATGGTGGCTGCAATCCACTGCTGTGTTCACTTCACACCAGAAACTGAAATGATGGGGCATGCTAGTATCGCCATTAACTTATTTCTTCTTTGCAGGCATGAATGGAGCTAGATGAATTTCACTGCAAGCTGACCTGAACGTTGGCTGCCAGCCAGAGACCCAGGTCACATCAGGCTTTCGAATGGGACCTCTTTGCCAAGGTCAACCAAAAGGAAATTATGAGATGGAAAAGCTTTGTGCATGTCTTGTAACTTTGACTTTTCTAAACTAATTATTAATAGAAGGACTCAAAAAGTCAATTAATGTATATGACTAAACATTTATCAGATGATGGCAGATTTAAGCCATTTATGTTGATGTTATTCTATTTTATAGACAGTGTTAAAATCCAGTTAAAATCTGCTGGATGTGGTTGGTTGATGAAGGTGAGTGTAATTCATAATAGAGATGATGGTGTTTTCTGATCTAGTTAGTGGTTCAAGGGTATTTCTTCTTTTCCCTTAATTTCTGCACAATTTACTGTGCAAGGAAATGCATCAATCTTAATTTTACAGTTCCAGGAGTTTCAACAAATGCATGTACCCATGGAGTCCACACCCTGATTGAAATATAAAAAATTATTTTGTCTCCTTTATCCATTAAAATTCTCCCTGCGACTGCTGTTCTGATTTCTACCACCATAAATTAGTTTACCTGTTCTTTACACTTCACATTGATGGAATCCTTCTGCATGTACTCTTTTTATGTGTTATTTATTTGGATAACACGATGTCTTTGAGATGCATCCATGTTGTTGGTTCTTTTTATTACTGAAAAGTATTCCAAAAGTATTCCATTGTATGAATTTATCATACCATGTTTCTCTGTTCTCCTATTGTGGATATAAGTGTTGTTTTCAGTTATAGGAAATTATACAGAAGGTTGCTATGAACATTATTACACGTCTTTCTTGCGATATGGGCAAGTAGTACTGCTTTGTCATAGGAGTGTTCTGTGTTTAAATTTATAAGGATCTAGCAAATTGCTTTCCAAAGTGGTTGTATCATTGCATATTCATACAAGCAATGTCTAAGAGTTCCAGTTCTTCCATGTTTAGTCATGTTAGCCTTTTTAATTAGCCATTCGTAGAACAGACGGGTATCTCCTTGTGGTTTTAATTTATCTTTCTCTCATGAATAATTTAGAATACCTTTCAATATTCTTATTGGCCATTTAGAGATCTCCAAAGTCTACCTGAAACTTTTGCCATTTGTTATTGGATTGCTTTCCTTGTACTTTTTAATTTAAAGTCCTTTATGTAATGTAGATATCAGTTCTTTGTCAGATACAACAATTGCAATTATTTTCTCCAGCCTGTCACTTACCTTTTAATTTTTAATAGTATCATTTGAAGAGCAAAAGTTTTAATTTTAATAAAGTGTTATCTTTTAAAAAATTTTTCTTTAATTTTTTAAATTTGACAAATAATAATTGTACATATTCATGGGGTACATAGTGATGTTTTGATATATACAAAGCATAGTGATCATATCAGAGTCATTAGCATATCCATCATCTCGAACATTTGTCATATCTTTGTGTTGGGAACATTCAATGCCTTTTTTCTGACTATTGAAACTATATAATATCTGATTGTTAACTCTAGTCATCCTACAGTGGTATAAAACACTAGAATTTATTCCTTCTATCTAGCTATAATGTTGTATCCTTTAACAAATTTGTCCTTATCCCACCCTTTCCCCCTATACTTCCTAGTTTCTCCTATCCTCTGTTCTACTTTTTGCTTCTGTGAGATCAACATTTTTTGGCTTCCACATTTAAGTGAGAACATGTAGTGTTTAACTTTCTGTTCCTGGCTTATTTCACTTAACATAATGTCCTCCAGTTCCATCCATATTGCCTTAAATGATAGGATATCATTCTTTTTTAAGGCTGAATAGTATTCCATTTTGTATTTATATTAATACCACATTTTCTTTATCCATTCATTTGTTGTTGGATTCTTAGGTTGATTACATATCTTCACTATTGTTAATATGATGTAATAAACATAAAGGTGCAGAAGTCTCTTTGGTATACTGATTTCCTTTCCTTTGGATAAATGCCAGTAGTGGGATGGCTGAATATTAGGGTAGTTCTGTTCGTAGGTTTTTGAGAAATATATATAATGTTCTCCATAGTGGCTATACTAGTTTACATTCCTACCAACAATATATATGAGCTCCCTTTTCTCTGCATCTGTGCCAACATTTGTTATTTTTTGTCTTTAATTTATAATAATCATCCTAATTGTGGTGACATGGTATTTCATGTGGTTTTGATTTGCATTTCCCTTATCAGTAAAGTTGAACATTTTTTCATGTATTTGTTGTCTATTTGTATGTCTTCTTTTTGAGAAATACTTATTTGGATCATTTGCCCATTTTTAAATTGGATTGTTTGGGTTTTTACTGTTGAGATGTTTGAGTTCCTTGTATATTCTGGATGTGAATCCCCTGTTAGATGAGTAGTTTGCAAATATTTTCACCCATTCCATAGGTTGTCTTTTCACCTGCTGATTGTTTACCTTGCTGTGCAGAAGCTTTGTAGTTTCTTATAATCTCATTTGTTTATTTTTCCTTTTATTGTTTGTGCTCTTGAGGTCTAAGCCATAAAATCTTTTTCCAGACCAATGTCCTGAAACATTTCCTCAATGTTTTCTTCTAATAGTTTTATAGTTTTTGGTCTTCCATTTAGGTCTTCGATCTATTTTGAGTTGATTTTTGTATGAGTGAGAGGTGGCAGTCTAGGTTCATTCTTCTGCAGATGGATATCTAGTCTTGTCAATACCATTTATTGAAGAGACTCTCCTTTCAAGAAGTGTTCTTGGCAACTTCATCAAAAATTAGTTGACTGTAGATAGGTGTATTAGTATCTGGCTTCTCTATTCTGTTCCATTGGTGTATGTGTCTGTTTTTATGCCAGTCGAATGCTGTTTTGGTTAATACAGCTTTGTAGTACACTTTGAAGTCTGGTAGTGTGATGCCTTCAGCTTTGTTCTTTTTCTCAGGATTGCTTTAGATATTTAAGGCCTTTTGTGATTCCACACAAATTTAATTTTTTTTCTATTTCTCTTAAGATTGTCATTGGTATTTTGAAAGAGATAGCATTAAATCTGAAGATTGCTTTGGATAGTGTTGTCTAACAATATTAATTCTTCTAATCATCCATGCTTCTGAGTATGGGATATCTTTCCATTTGCTTGTATCCTCTTCAATTTCTTTCATTCTAGGTTTGGTTTTTTGTAGCTATTGTAAATGGGATTGCCTTCTTGATTTCTTTTTTAGCTAGTTTGCTATTTGTGTGTAGAATTGCTACTGATTTTGTGTGTTAATTTTGTGTTTTATCACCTTACTGAATTTATTTATCCGTTCTAAGAGTCTTTTGGCAGTCTTTAGGCTTCTCTCTATATAAGATCATATTGTTTGCAAACAGGGACAATTTGACATCCTGTTTTTCAATTTGAATGCCTTTTATTTCTCTTGCCTAATTGCTCTGGCTAGAACTTCCATTACTATGTAGAATAAGAGTGATGAAAGTGGGCATCCTTATCTTGTTCCAGTTCTTAGAGGAAAAGCTTTCTGCTGTTCCCTATTCAGTAACTTGTTAGCTTTGTGTGTGTCATATATGGTCTTTATTACATTGAGATAGTTTCCTCCTATCCTAAAGATATTGAGAGTTTTTATAATGTTTTATCAAGTACTTTTTCTGCATGTATTGAAATGATCTCTCTCTCTCCACACACACACACACACACACACACACACACACACACACATCCCCCCCCACAGTCTTCAAAAAGTTCATGCAAAATGCATATGAAACAATTATGCATGGATTTTAATTTTTTTTTGTACCAAAATAAACCTTTACTAACTTCTTATAACATTTCTGATCAGGATCTAGTTTGAAGCACTGAAAAGAGTAAGACATCACTTTGAAAAGAGCCCTATCAGAGCAATATAAATTCTGCTAAAATTGAAGCAAGAACAAACACCAAGTTTATGGGGAAGCTTGAATGGAAGAATGGGGAAATTACTGATGCTTTATGAAAAGTAGTTGGGGACAGTGCCCCAAAGAAATCAGCAATTTACAAATGGATAACTCATTGTAAGAAAGGACAGGATTATGCTAAAGATGAAGCCCATAGCAGCAGACCATCCACATCAATTTGTGAGAAAAAAAATCCATCTTGTTCATGTCCTAATAAAGAGGACTGATGATGAACAGAAGAAATAATAGTCAACACTGTAGACATTTCAATTGGTTCAGCTTACACAATTCTGACTAGAACTTAAAGTTGAGTAAACATTGCCTTGACGGGTGCCAAAATCATTGCACCTGGATCAGCTGCAGACATGAGCAGAGCTTTCCACGGAAATTTTAAATAAGTAAGAACAAGATCCTGAAACATTTCTTCTAAGAAATTTAGCAGATGAAATATGGAAGCATTCATTTCTCTTTTCTAAAGGAGTTTGTCCCAGAGTGCTATTATTCCAGGTAAATATTTGGGCTTACAGTCTTTTTATGGGAAGGCTTTTAATCATAAATTCAATTCATTTAACAGATAGAAAGCTATTTAAATTTTCTATTTCTTCATATGTCAGTTTGGGTACTTTTGTCTTCCAAGAAGTTTATTCATTTCACATAACCTGTAAAATGTGGTGACATAAGGTGTTCATAATGTGCTTTTATGTTTGTATAATCAATAGTTATATCCTCTATTTCATTCCTAATATTGGTAATTGATAATGTTTATCACAGCTTTTGTTTATTTAAATATATTATTATTGTACCTTAATGTTTGCAGGATATTTGTCCTGAATAATAGAATTCCAGTTTGTTTATTACTTTTTTATTCAACACTTTAAAAATGTCATTCCATTATTTTCTGATTTACATTGCTTCTGATTAGAAATCAGTTATAATTCTTTTTTTAATTTCAAAATATTACAGGGGGACAAATGTTTTTGGTTACATCAATGGATTTTGTAATGCTTGAGTCAGGGTAATAAGTGTGCCCATCATCCTTATCGTGTTCACTGTACCTGTTAGGTAGCTTTTAACCCATCCCATCCTCCCCTCTACCCCCTGCTTGATTTCTACTGAGTTTTATTTCCCTCTGTGCACATGTGCTCATCAGTTAATTCCTATTTAATAG